TTTTTCACTTTTGATATGGAAATAACCCTAGCTTCTCAGTGTTACTAGATCAAATGACAGTTCATGTGGAAGTACAAGTTGAAGCCTTAAACTGTGAACACATAGTTTTATTATAATAAAATGAAGAAAGGAAATTCTAAATAAGATTGAGCTACTTCCAAACCATTACTAGAATGTAAGCTCCATGAGAGAAGGGGCTGTCTGCTTTGTTCACTATTTTATCATCTAGAGCCTAACAGAGGGCCTGGCTCAGAGTAGATATTCGTCAATATTTGTGGAAGGAAGGAGGCAATGTATCATAAAAATGAAGAATTAATAAAGTAGATGAGCTTAGTGACACACTTCTAAATACTTCAGATACCCATTCCTTAGCTACACCCTGGGCTTTTTTCACATTATAATGCTCCATCTCCAAAATCAAAACCTCATGCATCTCTAACCACAGCCATCTGCCTTTCCAGCTTACTGTTCTTCAATAGCATGTGGATTTCCTTCTCTATTACCTTCCTGCCCTTAAATCACTCTCTAAGAATACAGACCTCATGGTCTGTCACTTCAGACATTGTTACCTCATCCTAAAGTATTTGTACCATGTGCCTTGGTTGCTTACTCCTGGTGAAACGCCAGCCTGGATGAATCCAGCTACTATCCATTGTAATAGGTGGAAAGGATGGAGAATGAAGGATGAATTTCGATGCAGGTCAGTTTATGTTTGGAGGTGGAAATTAGGTAGTTTCAATCTTTTGGCTTCTGTTTTCTCTGTGAAGTATGAAGCCATCTGTCTTAGTTTCCTAGTGCTGCTGGAACTCAAATATCACGAGTGAGTGGCTTTAAAGAACAGCAATTTATTTTCTCACAGATCTGGAGACTACAAGTCCAAATCAGGGTCATGGCCATGTTGATTCCTTCTCAGGTGTTCCTTGGTGACCCTCACATGGCAACTCTCTTCCCCAGAATGTGTTTGCTTCAGTGTCTAATCTGTTTTTTTAATAACTCAGAAGCGATTAGGTTTAGGACACACCTTACACTGATAAGGCCTCACTAATGTAACCAAGAAAACCCTCTTCCAAAACAGTTACATCCACAGATATTAAAAAAAAAAGAAAAAAAACCAGTGCCTTCGAGTCAATTCCAACTCATAGTGACCCCTATAGGACAGAATAGACCTGTCCTATAGGGTTTCCAAGGAGCAGCTGGTGGATTTGAACTGCCAGCCTTTTTGGTTAGCGCCGAGCTGTGAACCACTGCACTGCCAGGACTCCTCCACAGGTATAGGGGTTAGGATTCCAGCTTATATTTTTGGGAGAAGGGGGGACACAATTCAATCCATAATACCATCTCCTTTCTTTGTGCCTGTACTCAGGCTGCTAAGTACTGCTGGAGAAATTGACAACTTCTCAGTATAGTACCACTCTAAAAATCATCATTGTTAATCTTAAACATGTCTTCAGCATTCCCCTGCAATCCTGCTGTATTTTGCCACAACTTTTCAGTCTTCCTCTTCTCTCTTCCAACTTAACTTTTTAATTTCTGCACAACCTCTCTCTGAGGAATAACTTCTTGCCTCCAAATCCACAGACCTACCTATATGTAAAACTCCTGTCACATTGAGAAAGGTGCCCTTTCTCCTTTCTAAGACCAAATTCCCTCATAAGGGCTTTAGATCCCCTCCCTCTTACTACTTTGCATTGTTAATTATCCTTTCTCTATCGTGAGCATCTACCTACCTTTCCTCTGGCACCATTCCATGGACGTTTAATTATACTCAGCATTTAAATATACTTACCTTTGCATCTTAAAGAGAGGAACAAAAAAAAAAAAAAACTTATCTCCATGCCCCCTTAAAATCTATTGTTTTTTTTTTTCCCCTGCTCTCTTGAATTATCTATTTCTTGACCCTGCCTCAAACTGGCTTCTGTCCCACCAAAGACAATAACCCCTTTTTGCTAAAACTAGTGGACAAATTGTGTTGGACAAATTGCTATTGACCATATCCTTCTGGAAACACGTTCCTCACCATATTCTCCGCATCTTCTTCCTTTTTTGCCTGTAGAAGTTGGGCATGTACGAAGTAGCAGTGATAGCACCTCTAGTTCCAGAAAGGATTGGAACTTGAGAAGGGGAAGTGTGAAATACTATAAAATGCAGAGGGTTTTTAGTAGGTGTCTCAGGAAATGTCTGAAAGGTAAAGGATTCTACTGGATTCCAGGGAAATGAAAAAATGGTAGGCTTTAGAACATTAAGTAGCAGTTTCAGAGAAATTACTTTTGTTCTGGCCATCACAGGTTTGAGTTTGAGATTGCAAGTGTGTGGAATAATCAGGTGGTTTTACTTTCTGATTAACTGCACCTTTGCCTTATATCCAACCTCAAAGCAAGATATAAGTATAGCACTATAATGCCTTAAGTTTATAATTTGGAGACATTATAAATATTGTATTTATAGACATTGTTTTATTTTGTTTTTCATCAGAGATTAAGTGTAATCTATTGTTCTCTGCCAGTTAACCAGTTGCTATGGTGTTGACTCATGGCATTCCGACTTATGGCGACCCCATGTATGTCAGAGTCCGTAGGGTTTCAGTGGCTGATTTTTCAGAAGTAGATCTCCAGGTGTTTCTCCCAAGGCCTCTCTGGGTGGACTCAAACTTGCAACCTTTATGCTGGGTTAGTGGCAGCGTCTAACCTACCCAGGGAATCCTCTCTAACAGTTACAGAAGGCCTATTGGCTAGGCTTATCTCATTTAATGTCCTTTCTTTTCCAACCCTGCTTTGAGATCTGGAGACAACCATGATTTATTTGCATATCTATTTGCAAAGCCATTGTTTTTTCTGCTGTATTAGAGACCAAGTCATAATACACTAGAGCAGTGGTTCTCAACCCTGTTAGACCCAACACATACTTTTTGTGACAGATCATTTGTAATGCATGTAAAATATTGCACCTGCTTTAGAAATCAGTCTGGCAGTTCCTCAAACAGTTTGAACTAGAGTTACTGTATGATCCAGCAAATCCACTCCTAGGTCTATACACAAGAGAAGTGAAAACATGTCCACACAAAATGTTGTACACAAATGTTCATAGCAGCATTATTCATAATAGCCAAAATAGTAGAAACAACCCAAATGCCCATTAGCTAATGAATGGGTAAACAAAATGTGGATATCCATACAATGGAATGTTATTTGGCCATAAAATGAAATACTGATACATGCTATAACATGGATGAATCTTAAGAACATGCTGAGTGAAAAGAAGCCAGACACAAACATTGTATGATTCTGTTCTAGAATTACATAGTGGTAATGGTTATAAATATACTAAAAACCATTGACTTGTACAGCTTAAAAGGATGGTATATGGATTAGATCTGAATTAAAAGTTTGTAACATCCCTTATATTATCCTGAAATGAAAATATTTGCTAATACTGGGTAATTTACCTACTGTATAATTTCAATGTAATGTCCTAAGTTTGATGTAAAGGAGAATAAAATGAAAATAATTTATGCTAAAATATATATTTCCAGGGATGACATGTAATGGCTATGCAGATTATGCACTTCAGCATTCCACAGGTGCGCCAGTTACACAGACTATAATGTGGTGGCCCTGAATGTCTCAATACGTAAGTGCTTGGGCACTATTCCACTGAAAGACTTGGTGAAACTGTCAATTGCTTATACCTGTGTATAGAACACTATGAATCGAACGGTCTCAAATGTAGACTGATAGAGGTATTTTATTCGTGACTCATACAGCTTTGCTGGGGTAATAGGATTTTCTAAAATACAGGTATTTTTACCCCAGTTTATGACAGGGTTCCATTCCAGTGACTCTGTTGTCAGTTTTGATGTAAGTTGAATATCTTTTTTTTTTTTTTTTTTAAACAAAGAGAAATTTATTCCCTCACAGTCAAAGTAGGCTAAAAGTCCAAATTCAGGGCGTCAGCTCCAGGGGAAGGCTTTTTCTCTCTGTCAGCCTTCTTCTCTTCGGTGTGCCCCTGGACTAGGAGCTTCTCTGCACAGGGACCCCAGTCCAAAGGACGTGCTCTGCTCCCAGCACTGCTTTCTTGATGGTATGAGGTCCCCTCATTGTTCCCTTTTATTATCAGCATCTTTATAAATCTGATCTTTGTCTTTAGGGTTGGCGTGAGAATGATACATCAGCAAATTACGCATTGTAACGTATATAGTACATATTACTAACTATAAGATGTGCACACACAAAAAAAGGACGGTTGTAAATGTGGTTCATCGTTACTTGAATACTTCCTAAGTCGGGGATTACCTGTAATGAAGGATACAGCATGATCTTCCCTTGTTTTATATGGTAGTTACATTTCTGGAAAATTCAGTGTATATTAAAACCATGCAAAAAATAATTTGTATTCATATGTAAAGTAGAGTTGGGGGTCTAGTCTCGAGTATTAACAGTTTTTCACCGACAGTACTGCCTAATGGAACAACTCTTCATTGTGCAAGACTTTTAGCATCCCTTGCCCAGTAAATGCTGGTAGCAAACCTCACCCTAGTCCCATTATTGTGACAACTGGAAACTTCTGTGAGGGGTTAGTACAATCCCCTTTGAGAACCACTGCATTATGAGGACACAATTACATAAGCACTGTGTTGTAGACAAGGGGTGAGTTACTCTTCATTCCTTTAGATCCTTCAAGTGTTTTGGTAAAATGGAACATTTCCTTTCTCTGCAAAGACTTAGGGAAGACTGAGGAAACCAAGAACTGTAGAATTTGCATTAATTTTAATTTGCATTAAAATGCAAAATGACCTAGAGTGTTTCACCTGTATGCTTGAATCTTTTATAGTACCCAAGGGGGAAAAGCAGCATAGGTACATCCAAGAAACAAGATCCATTTTGCTTATGTTTTGGGTGACCTCATATAGTTAAAGTGTTGCTTGCTGGTTACATACTATCATAGTTTATCTGACGAGCCTATAATTTTTCACTGCTAGTTATAACTTTTTTTTTTCCTTCAAGACGCTCTCCAAATCCTTGGTTATGGATTACTTGGCTCATCCCGGCGTATGCTTGGCTGTCGGAGTTGCTTGTGGAATGTGCCTGGGCTGGGGCCTCCGAGTACGCTTTGGAATGACCCCCAAAAGCTCAATGAACGAGACAGACAGAGAAACGGGGACTGAAGCCAGCATCTTAGGAGAGAGTGGGGAATACAAAATGATTCTTGTGGTTCGAAATGACTTAAAGATGGGAAAAGGGAAAGTGGCTGCGCAGTGCTCTCATGCTGCTGTTTCTGCCTACAAGCAAATTCAAAGAAGAAACCCTGAATTGCTCAAAGAATGGGAATACTGTGGCCAGCCCAAAGTGGTGGTCAAAGCCCCTGATGAAGAAACCCTGGCTGAATTATTGACCCATGCCAAAATGCTGGGATTGACTGTAAGTTTAATCCAAGATGCTGGACGTACTCAGATTGCACCAGGCTCTCGGACTGTCCTAGGAATTGGGCCGGGACCAGCAGACCTAATCGACAAAGTCACTGGTCACCTTAAACTTTACTAAGTGGAATTTTGTATGATGTTGATCCCTCCACCACAAGTCATTCTAACAACTTATGCTGACTTTCTTCCCCCAAATTCAATATTCTTGAGATGCAAATAAAATCTGTTCCCATGTTCTTCTGTCATGTACTTGCAGAATTATCATCTTGGGCTAAAAAAAATATTGTTGGTTAAATGGTCCTGATCTAGTGATAGGTACTGAAGCCAAAAATATTTGAGAAACAGGTCATGATAAATCTAGGTTACGAGTGGGAAAACATTTTCCTATGCCATGATCAGATATCTTTATGCTGATAGCTCTTCTTCCCCAAAACTGGTGCTGTCCCCCTTGGAGGATCTGGAGTGCAGAGGTATTCCCACTGGATTCAAACTGCAAAGTTTGTTTTCCTCCTGCCACTTTGGATGACTGATAGCCTCCTTTATTAATAGATCATGGTATAGCCATCCACAATGGAGTGTTGAGGATTGAAAATGAGGTTTTATATTCATGGTATAATGCACCTATGCAGTGCTTCATGTTCATTTCCTCTGATCCACACTGCCCAAAGGTTCTAAGCATAATCTATAAAATTCCTTTACTTCTCTTTTTTCTCCTAACATTGAAGGCATTTAGACTTGTGAAATGACCTGTAAGCACCTTGAAGGTGTTAATGGCCCCATGTAGAAATTTATGGTAAAGTGAATGCAGTTTGTCATCCCAACACTCCAATGTTTCTTTACCCCGGAGCTTAAGGAACTAGGTAATTCAGTTATTTAAGGGTACCTTTTTTTCCGTTTTGATCTTTATAACTTAACATGTAATTCCAGCTACCTAGAATATGAAGCAAAAGGTCCAAGCTCCCAAAAACTGCATAACCTCATGATTTTTTCTTGGTAGAGGCCATTTTCCCTGAAGGCCTCTGAGGCAATCCTGACAGTTTCCAAATTCAGTATATCCCTAAGAACTATACTGGTGCCAGGGAGAATTTTGGCAACAGGCCAATATTAGCTGGCTTTAACTTTCAATGGCTTAATATTAGCCAGAAGTTAATATAAGCAGTAAGACAGCACAACTTCAAGGTCTAAGGTCAACAATGGAGTCTGTGGGGAGACTTTTTTGTAGTAGTTTATTTTTTGTTTTTGAGAATATACAGCAGAACATACACCAACAATTTCTACATGTATAGTTGACATTGATTATATTCAAGTAAAGCAACCGTTCTCACCCTCCTTTTCTAAATTGTTCCTCTCCCATTAACATAAACTCGCTGCCCCCTAAGTTTCCTATCTCATCTTTGATGTTGCTGTTGTCAGTTTGATCCCATATAGATAGATCTTAAAAGAGCACAGTGCTCCAGGCAGACATTCTTCACTAGTGCAAGGAAAACTATTGTTCGGTTTTAAGACTTCAGGGGTTATTGTTGGTTTAAGGTTTAAAGATTATCTCAGGGCAATAGTTTCAGGGGTTCATCAGTTTCCGTGGCTCCAGAAAAATCTGGATTCCATGAGAGTTTGAAATTCTTTATTTTCCCCCACTTGATAAGGATTCTTCTATAGAATCTTTGATCAAAATGTTCAGTAATGATAGCTGGGTACCATCCAGTTCTTCTGGTCTCATGGGAAAGGAGGCAGTTATTCATGGAGACAGTTAGCCACACATTCCATTTCTTCTATTCCTGACATTCTTTACTTTGTTGATCCACGTGAATGGTACCTTGGATGCCACTCGCAAGCTTCTCAGACCCCAAGCACTACGGAACAAACTAGGAGACAGAACAGAAGCACTAAACACAATATTAGGCCCATTAGTTGGGATGTCGCATTACCCTAAACTTCCAAACCAAGAAACCAAATCTCATGAGGTGTTTGGTTGTACATCAACAGCCTCAGCAACTGCTCTTTGTTGTTGTAAATATATCACTCCATTTTTGCCAATTTTTACAGGTACAATTCTGTGACAGGTAACAATTTTTACAGGTGTACAACTTATTGACAGCAATTACATTAATCGGCTGTGCAACCCTTACCCTTAATGTAAATTTACCATCACTGTAAACTGAAGTCAGTGCTCCATAAACAATAACCCTCTGTGCCCTCTCCCTCCCACCCCTGGTAACCACTAATAAACTTTGGTCTCTATATGTTTGCCTATTCTTGTCTTTATATAACTAAGGCGATGCAGTATTTCTTTCTGTGACTGACTTATTTCACTCAGCATAATGTCTTTAAGCTCCATCCATGTTGTAACAGGTATCAAGACTTCATTGCTCTACTGGCTGAGTAGTACTCCATTGTATGTGTGTACCACATTTTGTTTATCCATTCATCCGTTCACGGGCATTTAGGTTGTGTCCACTGTTTGGCTATTGTGAATACAGCTGCAGTGAATACTGGTGTACAAAGTCTGTTTGCATTGCTGTTTTCAAGTCTTGGGCATATTCCTAGCAGTGGAATTGCTGGGTCATATGGTAGTTCTATTTTTAGTGTTTTTTTTTTTTTAAATTTTAATTTTGTTGTTGAGAACATACACAAAACATACCCCAGTTCAACAATTTCTACATGTACCATTTAGTGACATTGATTACATTCTTCGAGTTGTATAACCATTCTCACCCACCTTTTCTGAGTTGTTCTTGCTTCATTAACGTAAACTAACTGCCCCCTAAGGTTCCTATCTAATCTTTTAAGTTGCTGTTGTCAGTTTGATCCCATTAGATAGATCTTAAGAGAGCATAAGGATTAAGGCAGACAATTTTTACTAGTTAAGCTAAACTATTGTTTGGTTTTAAAGACTTCAGGAGTATTTTTGTTTTAAGGTTTAGAGATTATCATAAGGCAGTAGTTCCAGCGGTTCATCCAACCTTCATGGCTCCAGAAAGTCTGGATTCCACAAGAATCTGAAATTCTTTTCTGCATTTCCCCCCTTTTGATCAGGATTCTATACAATCTTTAATCAAAATGTTCAGTAATGGTAGCCAGGTACCATTTAGTTCTTCTGGTCTCATGGGAAAGGAGGCAGTTAGTTGTTCATGGAGGCCAATAACCACACATTCCATATCCTCTTATTCCTGACTTTCCTTCTTTCTGTTGTTTTAGGGGAATAGGGACCAATTGTTTGGCCTTGGATGGTGCTTGGAAGCTTTTAAGACCCCAGGCACTATGCATTGAACTAGGAGGTAGAATAGTAGCACTGAACATGTTACTAGGCCAATTAACTGGGATGTCCCATGAAACCATGACCTTAAACTTCCAAACCAAGAAACCAAATCCCATGAAGTGTTTGCTTATACATAATCAGCTTCAGCAGCTACTCTTTGTCATTGTTGTAAATACATCTATGACAAAACTTCTGCCAATTCAACTTTTTACAGGTGTAGAACTTACTGAAAGCAATTACACTAATCAGCCGTGCAACCCTACCCTTATTTCCATCACCATTAAACATCCCCACCCCATCCCCCCTTGCCAACCACTAATAAACTTTGTTCTCTAAATATCTCTGTCTTTTTATGTGAGGTCATACAGTATTTGTCGTTTTGTGATTGACTTATATCACTCAGCATGTCTTCCAGCTCCATCCATACTGTAGCATGTATGAAGACTTCATTTCTCATACTGGCTGAGTAGTATTGTATGCATGTTATCATTTTGTTTATCCATTCATCTGTTAATGGGCATTTAGACTCTTTCCACCTTTTAGCTATTGTGAACAGTGCTGCAATAAACATTGGTGTACAAGTCTCTTTTTGAGCCTCTGCTTTCAAGTCTTTTGGGTATATACTTACGAGTGGAATTGCCAGGTCATATAGTAGTTCTATTTTTAGTTTTTTGAGGAACCACTGTGCTGTTTTCCACAATGGCTGTACCATTTTGTATTCCCAACAGCAATGGGGTAAGGGCTTCAGGTCTCCACATCCTCGCCGACTTTTTTTTTTTTTTTTAATCTTAGCCATCCTAGTGGGAGTGAAATGGTATCTCATTGTAGTTTTGATTTGCGTCTCTCTGATTGCTAATGATGTTGAGCATCTGTTCATGTGTTTGGTGGCCACTGGAATGTCCTCTGGTGAAATGTCTAAGTTCTCTCCCCATTTTATGATCAGGTTGTCTTTTTGTTAAGTTTTGTATATATTTTGGTTATTAGGTTCTTGTTGGACATATGGTTTCGGAAGATACTCTCCCAGTCAGTAGCTTTTCTTTTTTTTGTGAAGTCTTTTAATGAACAAAAGTTTTTAATTTTTTTGAGGTCCTATTTATCTTTAGCTGTTTGTGCCTTTGTTATTATATTTGATAATCCATTGTTAAAAGCTAGGCTTGACAGCGTTGCCCTGCTTTTTAAGAATTTTATGGTTTTAGTCTGCACATTTAGGTCCTTAATCCATTTTGAATTTTTGTCTGTGATGTGAGGCATAGATTGTTTCATTTTTCTGCATGTGGAAATCCAACTTCCCCAGCACCATTTATTGAAGACTCTTTCTTCCCCATCGAATGGACTTAGCATCCTTGTTGAAAATCAGGTGACCACAGATGTGTGGGTTTATTTCTGGACTCTCAATTCTATTCCATTGGTCTATATGTCTGTTGTTACACCAGTACCAGGCTTATTGTAGCAAGTTTAAATTGATTACTATAGCTTTATAGTATATTTTAAAATCAGTTACCTGTGAGTTCTCCTATTCTTCTGTTTCAACATTGCTTTAGCTATTTGGGGCCTCTTGCCATTCTATATAAAGTTGAGGATTGGTTTTTCTATTTCTGTAACGAAGGCTGTTGGAATTTTGATCGGGATTGTATTGAATCTACAGATTGCTTTGGATAGTACTGACATCTTAATAATATTAAGTCTTCCAACCCTTGAACATGGAAAATCTTTCCATTTAAGTTTTCTTTAATTTCTTTCAGCAGTGTTTTATAGTTTTCATTCTATGAGTCCTTCATGTCCCTGGTTAGATTTATTCCAAGGTATTTTATTCTCTTAGATGCTATTGTAAATGGAATTGTTTCCCTAATTTCCCTCTTAGATTTCTCATTGCTGGTGTATAGAAACTCACCTGATTTTTGTTTGTTGATCTTGTACCCTGCAAATTTGCTAAATTCCTCTTTTAGCTATAGAAGGTTTTTGGGGACTCTTTGGGATTTTCTGTATATATAGGATCATATCCACGATGTGGGCAGACTTTTAAAAGGTTCTTATTTTTGTTCTGCATATGACAGCATGCGGGACACGGCAACTGTGAATGATGCCACAATAGCAACTGTTTCTAAACAGAATGTTTATACTGCATTCCAAAGTGATGCAACAGCATGTAATTGAGTTGAAGAAACTCAATTTTAAATGTGAATTTCTGGCTCAGGTAAATTTCTGAGGCTTGCCTCAGAGACTGATTGCTACAAATTCAAAGCAGTTCATTACCAGCAGGATGGCCTGGGGTGGCTGATTCAAGTGACTGTAATAAAATTACCTGTTCAGCAAATCAGCATGGCAATCTACTTGGATGTATAGTATAAAATTCACCTGTACTTAATATTTATTTTATAGGATTTGTAATCTTACACAGTAGTTCTCAGAGTATAGGCTGCAGACCCAAGGGATTCTCCCAAGACACTTCTTGGGGTCCATGAGGTCTAAACTAAGACGTGATCTTTTTCATTGTACTGATATTTGCAGTGATACATAAACAATGGTAGGTGAGTCCTGGCACCTCTCACAGATGAAGGCAGTGAAGAATGGTCACTGTATTCTTCACTGCCATGCACTCAGTTTAACCCCGCCCCCCGCCAATGTCCTTGATGACGCAGTAAAAAATTAAATTTTGACCCTTGAATGTAAGTCTCAATATTCTAACAATAAGCACTTCTGCATACTGAAGTATAATTGTCTTGACGAAAAAGACTTGTGTGTTTTAGCTGTGAGCTAAACTAGCTGTTTTGTTGTGAAATGGTACTTTTATTTGCGAGAACAACTGAGAACAAACTGGTTATTCAGAAATGGCAGGCATTTCCTCAAAAATAAACTAAGTGAGCAACTCACTTCAAGGAAAACAATCAACAATATTTTGGAAAATTTATATCTGCCTCTCCTGCCAGCTTCCCAAAACTTAAGACTTTCCTGATGAGATCAGTGGTCCTCACAAATATGATTTTTTGATATATAATGTGTCAACATATGGAAGAAGTACCTAACTCAGTGAAATCAGTATTTTCCAGATGACCAATGTAAACCCCAAACA